TTTCTGGTACTGCAATAAATGACAGTTTCTCTTTTTGGGTAGTATTGTTTCACCTTGCCTGCGAGCTTACGGTACCACTTGATAGCTCCACCTAAACAAAGATAAAATCAGCTTTTCAAATTACATATGGTGTGGGTATGTGTAGGGTGGGTACATTAAACTCCTTTTTTGGAGAATTGCCACATGCCTACAGTGAACTCTAATAGACTAATGTGCAAAGTTTTCCATCTCTGACATGCAAGGCAAAAGGTGAGTCCAGGAAATGCAATTACCCTGTACTGTGGGTAGCAGTAGACATTATCTGAATGCAGAACAGCTTCCGATAAAATTGGGTTCTACCATCAATAAATGAAAACAACCCGCATATTTAGCTTTACGGACTCAATCTTACTAACAGGAGTATTGAGTAAACAGTTTTATTTTCATGGAAGCAGCATCTCTTATAAACAGAGGCAATATAAATCCAAGTATTTAATACTGTACAGCACATGTATGCACAGACACACACAAATGTGCACATTTTATCTCTTCATAAATTTTCAGCCATGCATTTTTGAAAACAGACCATTACTGCTAAATGTTGTATAAACAGAAACTGATTTGCAGATGGGTCAAATATAGGGCAGCAATTTGAGACCTTCACTAGAAAAAAGCCCCTGGAGTGCAGAGGGTAATCAGAAGACTTTATAGCCTTAAGCCCTCTTAGAACATCCCTGCCGATGAGGCTGAGGGTGTAGTCAAAGAAGGCAAATTTGGACATAGCCAGAGGGCAGAACATAGCCACAGGACCCCCCAATTCAGCCACGAAACTTCCCATCTGCAGGAGTGGAGGAAAGCAGTGAATGAATGCCAGTGTAGCCATATTTGAGCTGTCATCCCACCTTTCCTCCTGGCTCAACCAGTGAACGACAACATGCTGTTAGAGTCAGGTAAGCAGTTAAGGAGCCAGAGTTCCCAGGGAGAGGGAGAATGGGGCGTGTCAAGGACATTTTCTTACATGGTACATTCTCCAGCCAGGCTTTTGGAGAGGATTTCCAACCAAGTACCCCTCAGAGCTCAAGTGGAGAGATTCCTGCAGGTGTTTGGTAGCGTGATGATGCCACTTACGTTCATGTAGACCTATTTTGGCCTAGATTTCAGTGAGTTTCCTCCTTTCCACACGCATGCTTAGGTGAGATGACTTCTCCCATAGAGGTTATTTATCCATTTGTGACATTCCCCTGGTGTTATCTGGACTGGTGATCTGCTAAGTCACTCCAATCATTGACTCCTGGGGTGTTCACGCACAGCCTCTAGCATGTAAGCTGCTCCTTGGATTGTGCAACCGAATGACACCCTAATATCTCCAGTCCCAGTCACAACCGTAGCAACCTCCGTCTTGCAGTGTCCAGTTATGCCCGCTGGATGCTGCAAGCTTATATGAGTTCATCAGTTTAGCAAAGAAATTAATATGTACCAGGCTTGTTATCCCAAGGGGAGTCTCTGACATGCTTCAAACCAAACGCACTGCTTCAGGTAGAATAAACAAACAGATTTATTAACTACAAAGATAGATTTTAAGTGATTATAAGTCAAAGCACAAGAAGTCAGATTTGGTCAAATGAAATAAAAGCAAAACGCATTCTAAGCTGATCTTAACACTTTCAGTGCCCTTACAAACTTAGATGCTTGTCACCACAAGCTGGCTGGTTGCCATTCAGCCAGGCTCTCCCCTTTGATCAGCGCTTCAGTCACTTGGTGGTGATGTCTGTAGATGGAGGTGGAAGAGAAAGAAAGAGCATGGCAAATATCTCTCCCTTTTATCATGTTATTTCTTCCGTCTTGGCTTTGCCCCCCGCTTCAGAGTCAGGTGAGCATTACCTCATCACAGTCCCAAAGTGACCAAAGGAATGGGGGTGACTCACTCGAGAGTCCAACAGATCCTTTGTTGCTGCATAGGCCAGTGTCCTTTGTTCCTGTGAGGCTGGGCTGGGTTTGTTCCATACATGCTCTGATGAGCTGTGAACTGCCCCTCTGCTCTTGGAGAGTTTTACCTGGGCCTGTTTTAAGTCATGAGGACACATTTTCAGCCTCATAACTATATACATAAAATTACAACCTAAAACATTACTATAACAACAATGCTCAGTGTATCTTGAGCCTTCCGAAGACACCTGACATGACAAACTTTACATTGGATACCACACAATATTATAAGGATGAACATGGGGGTGCAGGGTATTCCTCCAAGGTACAGAACGTCACACCATTGCAGTGTAAATTACCTTTAAGAGCACTTTACACAGGTATAGAGGAGGGGGAAAAAGGCCCTGTCTTGACAGGCAACAAAGATATGGTTTTCAATCACATTAGCTCAGTTGAGTTAGTTTGACATGATATAAAAGCTTGTAAAGGCTCAGGCTAGCTAATCTGAAGGAATCTTAGCTGGCCATGTTGTTGTCTGGCCTACTTCTTAAGAAGATTTTGCATTTAAGTTAAGCTAATATTCTTGAGTTAATAAAATTGAAAACCAGACACTTCTTTTGCCCATCAAGACATGGCCAGATAGAGCCTTACGTAAGGGTTGCCTCAAAAGTTACACTTCAGTACCATTAAATGCACATGTGACTGTGCCCATCAATTGCCTTTCAGGATATGTTGCTCGTGATGGAAATGCTGTTGTCATTATTATTGTCCTACAATACCACCATGGTAGCATGTGGGTTTTCCACAGTGAACTTAATCAAAACAAGCCCACATGGACATGGGTGCAGCAAAACCCACTCCAGGACTGAGTGAATGGGCTAAGCGTAGATGCATTTCAACCTCCTCAGGGATGTTCTCCAGCAGCTTGTGAGGAGACCACCATATTTGTGCATGGAGTCACAGTGAGCACTCAATATTAAATGGAGGCAGCGCAAATAGAGAACCAAATATACATAATGTTACCGAGGCATTAGGATTTTTACTTGAATTTAAAATCAGTTCTGCCTACCAGCCTTATATTGGTTATGTGAGTGGCATTTTAATGTATATTAAAACAAAGACACAACTAGAGTTGTCCAGAAAATGACAATACCATTTTACAACTTCTGAGGTTTCTAAATTTGGGTTTTCTTCCTCATTCGAATGAAACCAAAACCTTTGGAAGGTTTCCTCAAAGTACAACTTGGTCAAAACATCCATTTTCAGATCAGGTTTTCCATCTCCCTCTTGTGCTCTCTCTCCTTTTAGAAAATCCACCCTTTACCTGAGAAACCATCCTGTTGAAACTTTCATGGACGGGTATAAGTTTTTGTGAAACGTTTCAGTTCTGACAAGACAGCATTTTTCAATGAAAAATCATTTAGTTGAAAAGTTTCCAATGAGCTGTATAAGCTCATGGAATGTGTAAGGCTATGCGAGGGTACAATTAAACATGAGAGACTGGAGTTTTCAAAGGAACCTACAGGACTTCCAGTGGATTTTGGCACCCAACTCCTTTAGGTTCAGTGGGCACATGAGTAAGATTCAGGGACACTAAGAAAAAGAGGAACCCTGGCACAACACAAAAGAAAACGAGCAGAATGCAGAGAAGGTCTTTAGATAGGCACAGTGACAGTAATGCTTCAGACCGTGAGGCAAGACACTGACTGTTGAGACAACCACATGTTTGTGTTGGACAACCAAGTCTGAAATCTACGCTGACCGTGGAAAAGTGATGCGGAAACTAATTTTCCCAGCCTGGCCTCAGATGTAATGTGAAATGTCTTTCAGCATCACCAGGTGGTTGTCTGGGTATCGTGATAGTCAGTGAGTTGATACTGACTTAATGTAAGAGCCCAAACCAAACCAGTTTATGGCAGTGGTTCTCAAACTTCTTTGATTGCATACCCCTTCTTTGTGTCTGTAGTCGCTTACGCCCCCCCCCAACCCCGCAAGTACATATACCCCCGCCCAGCTCTGAAGGCAGAGTGGAGAGCAGCGGCTGCTGGCTAGGCCCCCAGCTCGGAAGGCAGCACTGTGGCAACAGCGGCACCGAAGTAAGGGTGACAATGTGAAAAGTGATGTTCAGTACCGCTTTTCACAGCAGACTTAGCACCCCAGCGCGGCTGCTGCCATCCTGGGGCTGATAGCGGGAGCTCCGCTGCAGGGGGAGAGCCTGAGCCCAAGTGGCAGGGCTCCGATTGTCAGCCCCGGGGCGGTGGGGCTCGGGCGGTCCCCTTTATCCCTGCCTCCCAGGTGTGCACAGCCCTTATGCATGAGCCCCAGCCATCTGGGGCTGACAGCTGGAGCTCTTTAAAAAAAAAAAAAAAAGCACACAGTTTGTGCCTCCCTTGACACATTCCCGTGCCTCCCTTGGGAGGCTCCTCCCCGCCATAGTTTGAGAACCGCTGGTTTATAGTGACTGGAGAGGCATATTGACCTCAGCTTTGGGTTTTGTATACTCACTGAGATGTTTATTTCTATTCCAGTATACCACACTTCTTTAATACAGTATAACAAGGCCATTTAGTTGTCACATTGATGGTAAAGGAAAGTTCTGTGTTCTTCACTAGGTACTTAATTGATATAAATACAACAGTGTTCCATAAATTGGTAAATTTTACAGTGTTTTCTGTAACTCAACAAGTAAATATGAGGGAACGTGACACCGCAGGAGCTACTGTACGGATCTCTGATATTCACATCCTGTCTGTGTTTCAAGTCGTGAAGGCAGCTGTCATATATATTTGGATGATTTGACCAACAACAAGGAAATACTTTTACACTGCACTTTATGTGCCCCTTAGAGTAATATTTGATCAACCTTTTAAAGCATTTATCACCGCTACATCTAGAAAGTTATGGGAAGTGTCAGGCCACCTTAATAATAGTGGTGCTCTCAGCTCTGCCTATAATTCTACACTCTTTGTCAATTTCTAAGGCACAAAATCAGCTTCATTTTAAGTAGTTTAGAGGTAGTCACACAAGGCTTACAGTAATTCCCTAACAGTGCCCATTCGCCATTCATGATGTTTCATTTAATTATTTATTGTTAGATAAAATTATCGGATTTTGGGTTCTGTGCCCAAGTTTCCAAGGAAGTTCCGAAAAGGAAATCTCTTGTTGGAACACCATACTGGATGGCACCGGAGGTGATATCCAGACTGCCTTATGGAACTGAGGTAAGCGTAACAAGTGCCTTGTTCCTGGCTGCAATGTCCAGCTGATGCAACCGCTTCCTCACAGAACAAGTACAATTTTAAGTGACTTCATTGTTCACTGTGTCGATATGTATAGTTTTGATTATGTTTAATACAGTAAAAAAGTATGCAGTACATTGTAATCGCTGCAGGTGCAATAAAGTAGCAGTAGACGGTACCTCACAGAAATGACATTATGCAGTGCCTTGACATAAAACATGATTCCCTGGGGGTGCGATCAAACAGTAATAAATAGAATTTATGTTTAGAATATTACACAATGCACCCTCTATGTGTATTTTTAGCTTAGGTGTTATAATTAAAGGGAATTGCCATAATTTTCTCCTTAATTAATGGATTTTAATACTCTTTACACTTACGCCAGGGGGCTGATTTTCAAACATAGGCATGTGCAATTACGTGTAGAGCCCTGCACGGATGCGGATATCTGCTGATATAAATCGGTATCCACGGGACCACAGGGTTCCCCCGGGAACTACAGCTGCGAAAGGAGCAGAACGTGGGGCTGGCGCAGATATACCACCCCCAGCCCTGCCCCCGTCCCTTCCGTGCAGCTGTCTGCCTTTCCTGTCTGTGGGTGTGTGCACCACTTGAACACACTAGCATGACCAGGGACAGCTGCCGGTGAGTCTGGTGCCTGCCCCAGTGGGTTGGGGTGGGGATGGTAGAGCAGCACCAGAGGAGCTCCCGGCACAGGGTGCTGGCTCCGGGGACCGGCGGCCCCACATTCTGCTCCTTTCGCTGCTGCGGTTCCCACAAGAGCCCGGTGGTTCCGCAGATACCGATTTGTAGCCGTGGATATCCGCATCTGCGGGTATAAATTTGTATCCGCGCAGGGCTCTTAAGTGCATGTACAGAAATGCAAGCCTAACTGTGCATGCCGTATGCACGTAGAGTTACCACCGTTGCACCTGTGACTCAAGCATTTGCATGTATAAATGGCCAGTTACACGTGTCACTTGCCATTCAGGTTGTTGTTTCGGTTTTGTCATTATTTGTAGTGTGATAGCAATATGAGCCCCAGACCTGGACCAGGACCCCACTGTACTGGGCATGTTACAAACACACAACAAAAAGATAGTCCTGGACTCTAAAGGACTAACAATGGGTGCAGTTAGCTGGATTGTGATCAGGGTGGGATTTTTAAAAATGCCCAGCATTGGCCTGACTCTGCTCAGCAGTAACGAGCTAAGCCAGGGTTGAGAGGTTTTGAAAATCCCACTCACATTTCACATGCATTGCAACTAATTGCATCCACTCACGCCCTGCTTTCCATTCAAAACATAAACTAGACAGTGTTTTACTCCTCTCTCCAACTTTCTTGCCATTTCTTAACAAATGGGTATTTCCTCCCATAAACATCTGATGTCAGGTGCTGATCTTTCCATGCCCTTGTGCAGAATCTGGATGATTCTTCTTATGAGGGCCCATTATACCAAGCCGTAGAGAATCTAGGTGAGGTCAGAAGCACTTCATGGCTGGCCGTGATCCTTAACAGTCCAGATGTCTAAGAAGTCAGAGAATTGCAAAATGAAGTGTGCAAAAACCTCAATCTGAAGGTTCTGCAGGTTCATGCCTGAAGAAAATGCTGAGTTATGTCGGAGGTTTACTTGGATAGCGATACACTCCTGCAGAGGAATAAGAAGAAGGTTTAGGATAAAGTCCCAAATGAAAATGAATAACGAGTACATAGCACACAGAATAAAAGATCATTGTTAATGCCCTTCTGCACTGGGCTCGAATGACGGAAGGGCATTTTCACCCATGACCTTTGCTTTGGTCTGGTCTGCAGACTCCAGCTTTGAAAATGTGTCCTTCAGTTGTATGTGTTATCTTCCCTGAGGAAAAAAGCAGATCCTGATGTCTGGTCCTTCAGGGCAGAAAATTTCAACAGATCCTAAGTATGTGCAGTTAAATCAATTACAGACGGACTCAAGTTATGATTTAGCTGTGGACTTATTTTAACATACTTGGCAGTTCTTCATGAGCCATTCTTCATGCACCATATGGCTGTTGTCTGACAAACAGGCATGTCTGTGATGGCTAGACCATGCAGTCAGACTTTCAGAGTTACAGCTGATCAGTATTTCTGAAGAACTGATTGAAAAAAAACCTCCCATCTGGTTGCGAGGGCTTGGGGGAGGGAGGGTAGAATCTAGTGCAAAGCTCTCAAAACATTATACTTCCACACGATCATCTGTGAGCCGATGTATGAAAGAAAATAATCGATATGTTATTTTCCCACTTGGATGCTTATGTAGAAATATTTAACGATTTTAGAAGATTTCTGATTAACCCTAAATTTTGTCTGTTACGGTGAATGAGGGAGGATAGCTCTGTCAAATTAAGGACCACAGCAACCTGGGTTACGTTTACTCGCAAAGAGCTGCAGTTCATCTCAAAGCACGGTCAACTCACTCATTAAGATGAGCAGCAGTGACCATTCCTGTGCCTCGGGGAACTATTTTGAGAACTGCCAAACTGTCAGGAGAATAGACTGTTCACAGCTTTTATTGGGGGACCTTCAGATGAGACTAGAAAGGAGTTGGCTGTACGGACTCACAGATGTTATAACCCATTTGTTACCGAGTACTGAGTCACAGTATTTCAGAACTGGAGATCACTATGGATTTATACAAAATTATGCCTTTCTCTTAGTAATGACAGTGACTCACAGCTTCCCATCCAAAGAGGTGACTTTTAACTCTCCTTTTTTACTCCACATGGTAGTAGGATTTAGCATATTTTTATTTGATTTTATATTATCTATGATAACAGCTAAGATGAAGTAATAACTGGTGCACACAAGCAGGGAAATGAGTCATGCTTTAAAGCTGTAAGGAAGAGGCTATATCTATACATAATGCAGAGTGGGACAAATTCTGTTTCATGTCAGAGGGGTGAAAAACCAGAAAAACTCCACTGTCATACTGTTACTTTGGATTTACCGCATGTAAGTGAGAGCCAACTCTGGCCCAATGTGTGTGGCTCTCAGTACACAAATGATATTGGGCCCGATGGTCATTGACACTGAGGGTATGTCCAGACTCGGCGCTGGGGGTATGATCCCACAGCTCGCATAGACATACCCACACTAGCTGTCACTCAGCCAGCACGCTAAAAATGGCCGTGTAGCCACAGGCAGTGGTGAGCAGCAGCATAGATTAGCCACCCCATGTACATACCCACAAGCTTCAGGTGGGTTTATACTCAGCATGGGTAACCCAGGGCACCACTCACCGCTGCCAGGTGACGCTACCATTTTTAGCACACTAGCTCAATGCGAGCATGTCTATATGAGCTTTGGAATCAAACCCATAGGTCCATGTTTAGACATACTCTTAGGCCACTTTACACCATTCAGGCAGTGTAAAGGAGCTTTAAAATGGGCATAAGGTATTTACTCCACTTTAAACCCCCTTTACACTGCCAGTAGCATTAATATAAATGAGAATCAGGCCCATTATCATTCAATAGAGGGATTAAAATAACTGGGTTTGTGGCAGTTAAATTATACTCTGCTCTTCAAGTAGTCTCATAAACATACAGAATTCTGGATGCTCTATGGGACAGATCTTCAGATGGTATAAATCGATGTTTTTCCATTGCAGTCAATGGCCCTTATTTGGATCTGACTCATACCGGTGTAAATCTTTATTGGTCTCAATAAACTTTGCTCATTACACCAACTGAGGCTCTGGCCCATAATTTACTGCGCACACCTTTCAGTGTATACTTTTTTCTCAGTGGCAAAATTTATTACCAGTTGGTAAAAAGAGAGCAGCCATCCCAACAGCAGGTAAGTTTTTAAGCAGAAGTTCCCATTGAAACAGAGCATAAAAAGCAATGGTATTCTAGGGCTGTAGGACTGAACATCTCAAAATGCTCATCCTAGAATATGTGTTTGTATACAAGTTGCACAGTTCAACAACTGTCGGCCCATTGCAGGTGGATATCTGGTCACTTGGTATCATGGTAATAGAAATGATAGATGGAGAACCACCTTATTTCAACGAGCCACCGCTCCAAGCAATGCGCAGAATCCGCGATAACTTACCTCCACGAGTGAAGGACATCCATAAGGTGAGAGTGCTCATGTTTCTATGGAGTCATGCACATATTAAGGTGAACCAAATCCATGACCAAATGAGGATGGTGTAAACTAAGGCCTAGATTGTGACTTCAGGCACATCCCTGAGCATTGGGTGGTACATAAACTGGGTATAGTAGTATTCTGTGGGGCTGTACCAAGAGTAGATTACTACCCACTCCATCCTGTGCTGGCTTAGTTACTCGGGCCACTGAATTGGGAGGGGAATGGGCTGGAATCAAAGCTCCATTCGTTCCCCACTTCTGCCCACCCACCAACTCTGGGGATAGAGTAAGTGGGTGAGCAACCCTGTGTATTTCTCCACATCCAAACTCAAAATCCAAGTGGCCTGTGAAGGGGAGTCCTACTCCTCTGCATGGCCTGATAGAGTCAGAATTTAGCCCTCAGTAATAAGAAAAACTGACCAGGCTTACTGCTGTGCTAATTCGTTTTATACCAAGTCATGTTAAGTGCCATGTTCTGGTCTCTTTCCCCACTCACGCCACATGACTTCTTCATGTACTCATATAGGGAAGAAAAGTGCCCTGTCAGCCCTATATATGTACTAATTGTCGCAATTCTGCATGCTCTTAACCTGTATTTTAATTGACTTTCCAGCAGAGCTAGTTTGAAAAGCCAGTCATGGCAAGTTACTTACTTTGTCTGCTTTTCATAACGTCAATGTGATGTTGCAGGTTTCCTCCGTGCTCCGCGGTTTCTTAGATCTGATGTTGGTGAGGGAGCCCTCCCAGAGAGCAACAGCACAAGAACTATTAAGACATCCGTTTTTGAAACTGGCAGGCCCTCCGTCTTGCATTGTGCCACTCATGAGGCAATACAGGCACCGCTGAATTCAGCAAATGTTCAGGCGGAGGCGTGTACAAAAGTTGGAGAAAGACTTGCCAAGGAATCCAGCGCTTGTGTGGAAACCATGGGGAAGTGCAGCGCTACAGAGATTCATCAGCGTCAGAACAGCTCTATGGAAATAATAGCAGTGTAGAAAATAATGAGGTGCTCTCCTGGGGTATGAAGGACTTGCGACTTTCCTTTGCCACTAAATCAAATAGTCATCTGCTGGCTTCTAGCACTGTCGCATGGAGCACGTTTTCCACAGGTAGTCCTCTTTCAGCTATCAAAGCAGACAGACTCAATTACACAGGTGGTTGTGGGGGAGGGGGGCGAAAGATAATAGATTATAGCACAACCAGGATAAACCACCAGAATTTTATTGGAAAAAGTAAACGATATGACACTTCTATTTCAGAAGAACACTTTTCTGGCAAAAAAGCACTTTTTATCTCAGTCATAGCAGTGTAATGTATTTTGAAATGAATTTGTAATTTTCTGTATAGTACTTTTTTGATAATTTACAGTACTTTGATGTTATATACCCATCGTGCTAGTTGAAGTAATGAGTAACTTAGCAAGAGTTTGAACAAAACCTTTCCTACTTTTTTATCCCTTTTGAAGACCGAAGGAAAAAAAAACAAACCTTCAGGAACTTAAAATGTTGGCAGATTTTCCAGGAATTTCAATAACAGACACAGAGATGGGTGCAGGCAGTACTGATAAAAATTTTGCTTTTCCCATCACACCACTGAAATTATAGTTTTAAAGATTTGAACATTTCTGGAATCACTAGAGCTGATGAGATAATTACAGTCACACATTAGAAATAAGTTGAATGTTATAAATTATGAGGGTTTGTTTCAGATCATTGTTTTCAGAGCCATGCATCTTAGCACACCAAACTCACGTACATTTGTTCAAGAGATGGTTAGTGAGAAAGGATCATCTATTAGCAATAGGGCAGACTTGTCATTTAGTCTGTACTGACCTCATTGTCACAAAATAATCCCCATTATTTATATCAAGTGTCAGAAGTCCGGATTGACTCTAGAGGTCGAGTTACCAAGCGGGTATTTTCCAAATTTCAAACAGACTGTTGTGATAATGTTCTGATGTGTGTCCCGTACAGAAGTTGTGCTGCTGTGTAGACCTTTTTGAATGTTGATAGAACAGTTGACTACTACCATACATTTTGTGTTGCTTGTTGGATGAACTTGCACGGTAATTGTAAGCCTAAGTAGATTTGCCTTTAACCTTTTTAGAAGTGTGTCATGATTATTTCAATTATAAATAAATTTTATTTATGAATGATTAGCTCATTTTAAGTATGCATACTACAAAAGTCGTGTCTTTTCCAAATCGTTTTTTTCTTACTGACCTCACTTTGCAATACGACGATGAGCATCAATAACCCAGGTTTGTGAAAACACTCTGACTAGTTTCTTTCTTATTATGAATTTTGTTGTGAATAAGTTGTTCATTATTTATTGTCGTAAAATATAAACAAAACACACAGCACTGGCATGCTGTTGAGCTGGACTTTCTGAGTTTTCTTCTCAGAAAGAGATTTGGCTAATGGCAAAGCAGAGCCTTCATTTTATACCATGCAAAAGTTAGAGCAAACAAGAGAAACAAAACCAAACAAGAATGCTAAATGTTTAGTAAATCCTCTACAATTTGCATAGCTTATGACCTGTTTCTTTCTTATCTTAACATTAAGTTTGAATAATTTAACTTTGCAAAATATACCCAGTCCTGTGTGTGGTCCTGAGCTCTATTAATTCTATTTGAAGTCAGTGGGAACTGAGGACACTCGACAGCTCAAAGAATGGAGCTCACAGGGCCTAGATCTGCACTCTTTATTAAGGTGAAAAGGGTCTCCGAAAATGCTGGCTCAGATTGCTGGACTGGGTCTGAAGAGAACATGCTACACCCCTGGTGTCACCAAGCAACTGCTAGCCAATAATAGCCTTCCTTGACTGGAAAGCTCTGGTTGTTTGATTCCCAGCATTTCTTACAAACCATGAGGGTGACGATTATAACTATGCCGCCATGTTTACTGCCCCCCCTCACCATTTGCAATGGGAGTTTTGCCTGAATCTCACCCACAGAATCTTTGTGTATAAGAGACTATGAAATTAAGTCTACAAAAAGAGAAAACGCTCATATTCTGTGGTCTTGACAACTCAGGAAAAATGTTACATCAATAAAGACAATAACATACAATTAGAACCATTATATTAGCCACAAAAATCAAACTTTTAATCATCTTTGAATAAAATAATGGTTTTGAGATTCAGCACATTTTAAACGGTACAAGTGGAGAATTTTGTGTAATTTTCTAATCACTAGATATTTTTAAACGGTATTCATCGAGTTTACTAAAAGTTATTGTCAGCTGAAAAGGTTTTGTGAGCTCCAGCTATTGGTGGGAAAAAATCCACATGCAAATAAAAACTTAAATGTCTGCATTTTTCTTGTGTTTTCCCTGCCTCTTCTGTGTTTCCCTGAGTTCAAAAAGCTGAGCAACATTTCCTTTGCAAGAGAGAGTGGTTCTTTTTGGAGAGCTATCAGTATAAAGGGGCACTTGAATAAAAAAATATATAAACGGACTTGTCCATTTTCTTTCAACCTGAGCAACTAGCAAGGCAGACAATGATGAAGGATTAAAGAGAGAGTGTGTGCAGAGTCTGTATTGGGTTCTGATGGTCTGAGTTGTTCTGAAGGGATAATAGAAAAAAAGAAAACAAAATACAAAGACAAAAATGTTAATACCAAGGTCAGTAAATTTCAGCATTAATTTTTATCGGAATATCAGGTTGAAAGAATAAATGCTAGACTGAGAACCTTTGGAAGACTGAAAAAATCAAGCTTAAACAATACAATTTCAGAGGTGTGTACTGCTAACTATTACATATAGTGAAGCGCAGAAATGATGAAGTATAAAGTTGACTGCAAAATATGAAAGAGCATGTCCTTAGCACTCCAAGCACATGGAAGAAACAAATGGCTGAGACTGAAACCCAAGGTGAACAATATGTCAAGGATTGCAGTTAAGTAGAAATGAGCTAAGCATGTCACGAATAGAAGAGCCAAGATGACGGACTGGCATTACAGTTAGATACATACCAATGGATGGTAAGCTCAGCACGGGCCCGTAGCATCCACATGTACAACCACATCAGAGGTGGCCCAAGGTGTAAGAATGCACGAGTCCTGTAACTGATTCAAAGGAGGATATCAATAGGATAGCAAAAACGTGAGTGAAGGAAGCTTGCTTCCTTTCCAGAGTGGCTAGCGGATGGAGCTGGAGAGAACCCTAGGAACTTTATAGTACCTGTTGGGTCACTTTTTAGGTCAGAGAGAGGATGATTGGAGACATCATGGTGATGTTGATGCAGAGCTGGCAGAGAGCATATTAGCTAGCACATAAATTCTATTCCCATAGGTGTGCCAATATAATTGATATTACTGAGTCACAAAGGATGAAATAAGGGTGGACTGTAGCAGAAAGGGATAGATTTGTGCCATTCAGGTGCAGCCTAATGTTGGAGGAGGCACAGGGAGACCTCAGAGAGGGACTGAGCCTGTCTGTAATATGAGGCCGAGCCCTGCCTCTTCCTCACATCTCCCAGCCATACACACTGGGACACTATACACATACAAACACATCAGCCTGCAGTTGTGACTAGCCCTTGCTTGGCTGTACAAGCAGGGAGGATTCTTGTGTGCAGTCCGGTCAAGTGTGTCCAAAGGGATTTATGGACTGGATGTCCCCTCCTTTCATAGTTCAGGATCAGCGGATCATTTTAAATTGAGCTTGCTACAAAAGAGAATCAGCCTTTTGATTAGCAAGGCTGTCCGATACTGCTCTCAGCGACACCAGCAGAAATCTGAAGGGACATCATTGTCCTTGAAAGACGGAGGTAGATTAATAAGAGTGTGAATGAGAGCAGAATCTGGCCCACTGCTTTTAATGGTCCCACAGGAGAGTGGGCCAGGCACCAATAAATGTCTACTATGTCGATTTCTTGCTAGAGCCTTATCCCAGCCCTACAGTTACATCCCTTTGTAGGAGCGATCCGTCCTGGCTTCCCTCATTCCCAATAGGATCGCACCACACCTATTGGCTTCAGAGATTCATAACCCACCGGGGAGCAAGGGAGCCCGCAGAGGCAATGATTTCATTGGTTAGTGCTTCTCCTCTTCTTCCTTCCCTCTGGTCACTCTCTTGCTTTATCTATTGTCTCCATTCTTGTCCTCATCTCCCCCCCACACACCCACACCCCACTTTCCTTCTCTATTTCCCTCCCTTTTCTCTTCTGTCTCTTTCCTCCTTTCCTTCCCTCGCCTCCGTTCCCAGCACTAGGATTAGCCGAGAGGAGAGAAGACCAGAACATGGCAGCACAAGGAGGAGCAAGGTGCTTGGCTCCAGCGCTATGCCCGTGCAGGTGTGTCTCAGCCCTGGCTGCAGTGTGGAAGCATGATTGAAGTCAGTTTCATCCCTCAGCTGCTGCTTCTGGGGGGGACGTACTGCATAGAAGCATGATTGGAATAGAAAGCAAAGGCACAGCCAGAATGGTGCTTTTCTGTTGGAGCTCTGGCAGGGGGCTCCTCGCGCGTCATCTGCCCCTATCGCCCCGGGGTGCCTGAAGCCATCACTGCTGAAATGGACTGTAAAAAAAAAGACAAATGACAGCTCAGGGGCTTGTTTGGCATCTGCCAGGTTTCTTTTCAAACTTGGATGTAAAATTACTGAGCAGATGTTTGCAGCTTTACGCCCATCCCTGGCTGGAAGAGTGACAACAGAAAGGAAGGAAAAGGCAGAGGAGACATGCGGAGAAAAGCACCGAGAACAGGGCGAGCAGCTCAGCACCAGGGAGAAAAGGGTAGGTGAAATCATCCCCTTCAGTGCTTCCACCTCCTAGAGCTAGCAGGGGCTTTCAGGCCAGGCTGGAGTCTGATTTAAAAAAGGGGTCTTTCCCAGTCTACGTATACACAGCGTCTCAGCTCTTCATCTTTCTCCTCTCAGTCAGTGGCATACACAGCTGCACTGCTCGAACTTCCCAGGGAGAATTCTGATGACTTAGAGGCTACATCAACAACCAGCTTCTGTGATTCTAAGTCCGATCCTGCCTCTCATGATGGTGGCACAAACACACAGCCCCTACACTTGAAGTTTGAAAGCCAAAGACCAAAGCTGTAAGTACAGTAAGAGCTGCAACTTCTCTTCCTGCAGACACGAGGGAAAATAAGACCTGAGTATGACTAACATTAATGACACTGACTGGACAGCATTGCAGTTCAGCTATTCACTATGATCATCTTTAGCACACTACTGTGGAATGAAACCTTTGGGGTAGGGGATGCTCTTGAGTGGGTCTAGCTTTTCTTTTCAAGAGATCCAAAAAGCACACTTTTGGGCAGTTGCTTGTCTGCTTCAAGTGATCTCTTGCATGGAGTGCAACATTTCACTCTCATCTGCTCCACATACCTGCAAGGTTGCTCAGAGACACAGGGACTTGATTTAGGCTGTGATGAAGGTGGATGACGTCTGCTTCATCAGAACTAGACCATGTGAGCTCTTTCCTTTCCCAATGCCTGACTGAGATTAGTGGACAAGATTGTTCAGCACCAGTTATAGCATCCGAATGTGGCTGCCCACCTGTTATGTAATATTAGGTGCATATTAACCCGCACCAACACTGACTTCTTATTTGCAAGGTGCTGGCTTCCTCTTTAGAACCTTAAAAGGCTTGGTTCCAAGCTATGTATGAGATTGCCTTGCCACAAGCCTTTGGTGCATCACAGCCATTTAGGTTAGCTGGAGCATTCAAGCTAGAATCCGTAGATTGAGTTGTGTAGGTCTTGTGGGACAGGGAGCTTTCAGTGGGGTACCCTCAAGTCTGTAAATCACTTCCTCAGCTAATCCTAGAGAGCGTGGCTTTTTTGACGCACAGTGCTAGGTCTGTCCCTCTTCTCAGGATTTTGCCTGCAGGGAGGGCAAGTGGGTTGGTTTTAGTTTTAGACTTGCCTGTTCCTGTCAATGTAGCGAGCCTGATTCCCCATTGCCCTGCACCTCGTGTAAGTCCGCTGAAAGTGGACGGAAAAGGCTCCTATTATTCGGATTTTGCAGTGGTGTCACTGAGTGCATACACAATGCGGAAGGCAGTGGAAAATCAGGCCCTGTGTTATTTTGTGGGTGAATCCCAGGCTATCAAACTGGGATCACTTCGAAAAGGGCCAGAATCTGCCACCCTTCCATTGAGCAGCACCTTACTTCATGACTAGCCTCATTCATGTCAGTGAAGCTG